CAAGGCAAATAAAAAGCAATGCCTATGGATGCTTTAATTTCCCTTATAAAGAGAGGGCTCCAGGGCTTGACCTCACACGGCGTGATGTACTATCTACATTAGCAGTTAGTTTAACCATTACTAAGCTGTATGAATCACCTGTTCAAGCTGAAATTATTTCAAACCAATAAAACTATTAGAAAAAACTGATATTAAAAAGAAAACAAAGAGGAAACCATGTCTGCTAAAAAGTAATTTTACTAGGAAATATGCTTACTGAGAATTCAACCACCCAGTGGGGAGAGCACAGAAATTAAGCTCTATAGAGTCGCAATGAGAGCTGAATGTTTCTGGTTTTATAAACGTTGTACCAAGGCTGCATTAGAGGCAGCCTTCAGCCAAGACTGCACGTCTCAGCACCTGTGAGACTCAGGCCACTTATCACCCAGGGCTAAAACTTGTAGGACATTTGTAGGGAATGCAAAGAGACCATAGAGGGTACATGAGAACAAAGGTGGGGATCAAAGGCATTTGAAAAACTCCTCTAAATAAAGCAGGGAGCAATGTTTCTGGACATGAGTGTTTATGATGACATTGCAAAACAATCATGATTCCTTTTTCCTTTCTTGGTGGTTAAGAATACTCTGATCTCCAGGATTTTGACTGGATTATTTCCTTTCAAGTTGTTGTGCATGGACATTGCAGTTAGTGACTTAATCTTCTCAAAAAAAACTAGAACTTTCTGATTAAGAATTTAGCTTCTCTGCACCTTTTGAAGATGCCCCAAGTGCAACAGGACTGTTAGATCTAGGATGGTAGTATATTACGTATGCCGGTGAGGCAGGAACTTGAATGGGGAGTCCAGCACACTTATTGGGCTGGAGTGTAAGTATTTGAAGCCACATTTTCCAAGGGGGACACTGATTTTGGATGGCCCATTTATTATATCCCAGACAGCTTAGTAGTCTGGGGTATTAAAAAAAACAAACAAACAAAAAAAAACTAGCAGCTTTTTTATAGTACAGACAGCTTAGTTCTGACTTCCAGGGGTGTGGGACACCTGAAACTCAAGTCAGAATCAGTGGGGAGACATTAGGACTCCACAACTGAAAATAAGGGCATTTAGTCAGGGGGTTCCCCGATGCTCCAAATCACTGACCGTATTTGAAACATTTGGCCATAGTATATAAACAATGCAGTAAATAACTGAAAAAGAGGAATCCCAGATTCATCGTTTGGGAGGAGTTGATTTCTAAATTGTAGGATCCAACCATATCCTACAGTCCTGTTCATTTTTGGGATAATTGACAATAATTTCCCCATAACTAATATAAAAACGTTCTGGATGCTTAGCAAACAGATTCTGGAAAGAATCCAAAGGTGTTTTGGAAGACCCCAGACCAATCCTAGCTTACCTGCTCCTTCCAGTATTATTTAATAGAGCAAAACAGCACAGTCTCTGAACACTTTACCTTTGAAAAAGCATCTGCCCTGAATAAAAGAAGATTCCAAATGGCTTGGAAGGAAAACTTATCCCACTGGAAACAAGGACATTATTTACTAACAGAGGACATATTACTTACAGAGGATGATCAGCTGGGTTCCTCCCCTGAAGTCCAGCACTGTGATACATGGCTGTGCAAAAACCTTGCACTGGGGAAAAGGAGGATTCCACATGTGTGATTGTTGTGTCCTGGAGAGCCCCCTCTGGGATTATGTCACTGAGGCTAAAGAACTGGATGAGGTTTCCTCTTTCTGAAGGAGCTGTTGGCACAATGGGTGACATTCAAGTTTAATGGGAGCAAGCCCAGTGGAGTGATCCTAGCTTAGTACCAGAGATGGGCAAGGTGGTTTGAATAAAATATCCCCCCTACCTCCACCCTTTGCCCATTTATAGAATTGAATTCAAACTAAGCATGTTTAGGGGGCTGGGGGCTCCAGGTCTGCCCCATTTCCCTGACCTGGCTGGGACCAGTTGGTCATAGAGAATGCAACAGAAAGACTCATAATGGCTTGTATGGAGTTTGGATCAGGCTGAGAATCATGGAACGGAGTGGCTCCTTGATGCCCCTGATCCCACTCCCTTGTCACCCTGAACATTCATTGGCCCCAGATACAGGCCCTGTGTGGGGTCCAGTTAGGAAGGTCACACTTGCCAGGAAACAAGTGATGCTTCTGCACAGATGCAGTTTTGGGGAGCCCGGGGCATGATTGTACACCCAACTGAAACGAATGGAATAGCTCCCATTGACTTGGATAGAGCAGGACTGGGAATCTCAGTGCTTGCTGCCCTTCAGGAAATTTGGCCAGGACCTGCCTTCACCTTTCCACAGTTGAATGACTGGGCCTGGCTATGCTGTTGGCTTTTATCTTGTTCAGAAGAAGCCACCTTTTTCTTGGGATATCTCATTGGCAGTAGGGGATGGTCCTGGTTTGAGCAGGGGGTTGGACAACATGACCTCCTCAAGTCCCTTCCAACCCTAATTTTCTATGATTCTTACTCATAGCTCATGTTATAACTTGGTTCTGCCCTAATCCAAGTGTGGAAACTCTTGAAAACTTCAATTTTTTTAGCATTCTTCTTTTCAGTTTTTTAGGCTAATTATTTTTGTCTTGACTTCAACCAAGACTGCACTTCTCAGCACCTCTGAGACTCAAGTGACTTACTAAGGCTAAAACCTGTTGACTCAGTCTTTAGTTGTACTGATCCAGCCTCTTTTCTGAAATCTTCCCTTCATCCAAAAGACAGCTCTAACACTAGCTACTGCTCAACTCCCTTCCCCACACTTGCCTCGAAGTCTGATTTAATGTAAGGCCAATTCTAGAGTGAAAAGTTGCTGTAGTTTGGTGCATCTATGTCCATACTGATTCAGTTCATAGCCTTTTTGCTGTAATGGCCAATCATGGGTCTATCTGGGGTAGTATTTGTGTTATGTGGAAACCTTATTTATCCACCATGAGCTGTGCGAGCTTCACTTCTTCACCTTTTTATGGAGTTATTCTAGCTCTTAAGGGAGGGTGGTAAGGTAGGAAGCCAAGAGAGAGGTGTCAGTGATGGCAACATGGACCACTGACTTGTATAACTGAAGAAAGATGAAATTTTCATGGCCTGAGTCCCCTGGTTTTCACTGGTGTAAAGTAGGGGACATGACACTGGAGTCCAACTTAGCTGGTGTCACTGGGAGAACTGGGCTGTCTTTCTCTAAGGGGCTGTGGAGTTGGTGCTGTGAACTCTGAACAGTTGGGGATTCTTGCCTCAATGTAGAGGTACAAAGCTGAGAGCAGAAGTAATAGCCCCATATCTCCTACCTTACAACCATTGAAAAGAGGTCAGTGGTGGGGCATTACATGGGGTAGTGTAGGTCTAGGTCAGGAGATATGAGAAAGATTGGGGAAGGCAAAAACAGTGGGACTACAGGGGTGGTGTAGGGACCAGCACACAATAATTTTCAAGCCATTTTCTAGCTGAGACCAGAACTGGAGCCCCAGAGAGTGCGCTGCTCACACTCCTAGGTGCACCTGATTGCAGCCTCAGCCACGTGCCTGGGTTGGTGCTTCTGCTGTTCACCATGAGGCAGTGAGCCTGAGAAGGTACAAAGCAGCTGGTGAATGCAGCACCTGCCAAAGGTACAACCAATACAAGGGGCATTTCAGCCATTTGGTTGGAGACCTGTGGATTCTGGTCCAGGCAGAGAGACTCCTTGCCTCCGAGCCCAAACCTAAACCTTTCAGACATTATAAATATCCCCTCTCCTTGTACTGGGTCAAACCCAAACCAAACCTGAGCAACCTCTGAACTTCAAGATGTTTGAAATCTAGAACAGGACTGGTGGGAATAAGGTGCTGGGGTCAACCTTGTATTTCAATGCAGGTGAAGCAATATTATAACAAAAATAAATGTGTCCAGCTTTGTTCTAAGAAATAAACATCTTAAAATATTCAGGCACACTCCTTGGCTCTTGTGACAGCTCTCAATTTCTCCTTCCACCTTCCCAGTACACACCAGTGTCCACTGAATGCATCTGGTAAGTGAACTAAGGGGAGAGGTAATGATTGAAGAAACTCTTATCCCTAAATCCCTTCATGATCAGGTGGGGGAATATAACTTCTCCTCCAGGGAGGTGCCTCCTAAGGGCTGATGTTAGAACAAGGCACTAATAAATCCCCAAAAACTGTTATAGGCTCAAGCCCATTCATTATCTTGAGCTCCTCAATGTATTATTTTATAGTGTACATCACCATGTAAGTCACCACTTGAATAGTTATCTCCTCAGCTGGATCCAACTCAGGACCTCGGAGACCTTGATAGATTCCTACGGACAATTTGATTCCTAGCTGTCAACAAATGCGATGAGCTCTGTTGTGTTGTATGTCTAGGTATCATAACACCTCCATTGATTCATTTCTCAACAAGGGTTACATGCACTTTTAGTGGAAGACTAGAGAGTTTTTCTGAACCCCCCCCAACAGTGTAGCCGGACTCTTCAGAAATAAGTGACTGAGAGGTACAAACATTAGATAATTTAAACAGATGATGATGTTATAGATTTTGTTTGTGTTGTATAATCAGGTACATGCAGAGGTTTGTTCTCCTACCCTTGCTTGTATGGAGGAGGTGCCCCCTCCCTTGGGGCTTAGTTCCTTCAACCTCAGCAATATGATGAAGAAGAGCAAAATTTGGCCTTGGGCAGTTAAGCAACAGTACTTCTTGGCAGGTAGTGTATCTAGGAGGATATTAAAAAGCTAGGTCTGGATTCAGTCTCAGTTCAGTTCAATGTTGGCTCCTGTATGCCTTGCAAAGAATGATATCCCAATGCAATGGTTTTAGGATTCTTATAGAATTACTTTTGTTGAACAGCTAAGAGAGTAATGCAGAGATTTGTGTGCAAACTGATGAAGGCTTGGAAGGTAAAAGTATATGTTTTATTGGTAGGTAATGTAAGTAGCTAAAATAAAGTCACTCCTGGTGAAAGGGACAGAAGAAATTCAACTCTTTATAGACACTGTAATATTTAACAGCTTCTGGTTTTATTAATATTGTACCAAGTCTGCATCAGAGACTAAAGCAAGAAAAGTATTTGTAGGGAATGTGGAGTGGGGAGAGCAGTGGATACAAAGCAGGGATCAGAGACATCTACAAAGCGGCCCCAAATAAAACAGGAAGGGGAGTTGCTGGAAATCAGCATTAGGACGATCCCGGGGGATCCCAGCTCTCCACAGACTGAGACAGGAACCGGCCGAGCCCTCTGGGGCTGCGGGTTAAGAGCACTCCGATCTCTTCAGGGTCTTGTCGACGCTCTTCCCGTCGTGCGTCACCTGACAGGCGTAGGTCTCGTGGCTCTTCCAGTCGGAGGCGCTCAGCGTCAGGTAGCTGCTGGCCATGTACTGGTTGTTGCTCTGTTTGGACGGCTTGGTGGTCTCCACTCCCCTGGAGATGGTGGTGCCATCAGCTTTCCAGGTGACCTGGACTGAGCCGGGGTAAAAGCTGTCCATCAGACACACCAGCGTGGCCTTGCTGTTGGTGCTGAGCTCTTCGGAGGATGGAGGGAAGAGGTGGACGGTAGGAGAGGCTTTTGGCTGTCCTGCAAGGGAACAAGGGGGTTCAGCGTTAGAATTGAATTGTAATCATATGGGATACCAAAAAATGAAAATGCTGGAACTATGAAATTACCCATTTCTGATCCAAGCCATAAAAAATCCCCAATTTTTATACATTTTTGTGTTTTTTCCTCATGTGTAGAAGTTGAGAGGCCAATCTGCAATCCTTATTCCAGTGAATAGTTATTACTGAAGAAATGGGGAATGACTTTAATAATGTTACTATGGGACTGCCTGTGTGAGGATGATTGACAGAGCAGTTAGACCTTAATTAAGGCTGAATAGATGAAAGCCACATCATGGCCAAATTACTTGCTGAGACCTAGAGTCATCAGCCAGTGCGACTGCACTAAATTCACACAGCTACCTCCTTGCTAATACTGGCAGCTACTCTGCCCAGTGCTGTACATGGCTCTTTTACAATCAGAGAGTTGCTGCCTGAGGTTATTGCCTGGGTTAGCCACCTTTGTGCCCTGCCTCGGTCTTAGTCTGACCTGCAGCTATCAGTTGAGAAGGCTTGTGGTTGCTTATTTTGCTGAAGTTAAGAGAAAATCGCATGCCAGTTCTACTTAAAAATCGCTTCCCTTGAATTACTTTATATAACTATTAGCCCCTTTCAGTGCCTTATCTGTCAGGAATGAACTCCCAGACAATGTGCAGATAGTCATTTTGACTAATCCTTTCTATAAATAATTTCCAATATTATGAACATTGTTAACTCTGTGGGTGTTTTTAAAAAACATTTCCAGTAGCTTATCAAATATTATACATTTGGTCTACTGTATACTAGCCTCTTTTTTAGCTTCTTCCTGTTGCAGGATATTTATTATTAGATCTTTGTTTAAACTAAAAAATAAGTGGCAATGAATGCACTTGCAATAGCGATTCTCACTGATTTCTGTCAGGTTTGGATCAGACCCTGATGCCTCACAAAACTAAAGACTCCAAGGATTTCATCAGCGTTCCGAATTTACATTGGGGAAGACGCGGTTAGGATCTAACCCAGTCCTAAATGACATGAAACATTTCATGATGCATCGACTAGATGCATATTCAAAAACTAATTTCATGTTTTACGTAACAGACCTGTCACTAATAAGAAGACAGGCAGGGAAAAATCCCTGAGATACTACCATTACAATTCACAGAGCTTCATAAAGTAAAAAAAAAGTCGTCCAGACTATTCCAGTCTCCTATGTGATCCATTAATGTATTATTCATTGATTATTGCATTCTAAATTACAGCTTAAAGGCACCATTTAGCAAACACTTTAATCAATAATTAGTGAGGCTTCCTTTCCCAAAACTAAAGAGGATCTGTGCTGAACATTGTTTCAACCCTTTGATATATTTTTGCACATTCTAAAGATAGTCTTATATGAAAGAATTAAAAAAAAATCAAGTATTGATCTTGCTGGAGTAATGATGAAGGCTGCTAAACAAGGCAGGAACATAAAATATTCAGTATTGTAAGGAAATGAACCTTCTTAGAGGCGTTCTCCCCGAGTGCTGAAAGATACCTAGAACTGAACTTGTTTTCCTTCAGAATCAGTATAAAATTCATACTTAGCCCGATCCATTGATTTACAAGTGTTTTGGATTAGAGCAATATAGAATAAGCATTAACTAAATGTATTAGAGAAGGGAAGACACCCAACCCCCCAAATCTTGTAGTGCTTAATTTCTAGCATGTAGGGTCAAAGTCCTTTCAAGATGCACACTGGGTCAAGCAATGAGAGTATTTTCCCCCCTTTCAAACTTCTACAAGCTTTGAATCCTAAACATTTTGGGGGCAAATTCAGATCAAGTCCTGCTTGTCCAGTCCCTATAATATATAGCCTGTATCATTACCAGTTTGAGGAAGCCGCCTGCTAAAGCAAGATCTCCTTTTTAAGCAAGGGCACTGAGATACAATAGAGAGGGGTAGTTATAGTTAGCTGTGTTAATCTGAAGTGAGGCAGAAGGCACAGGGCAGGGTGGCACCTCATAGACCAACTTGTTCAGAAATGCCTGAGCTTCTGAGGACAACTTCTTCATCAGGCTCTGTGAATGGGCTGTTTATAACATCTGATGAAGTAGGCTGTTGCTTATGACAGCTTATGCATTTCTGAATGAATTAGTCTATAAGGTGCCACCCTGCCCTGTCTTGCCTTCTGCCTGACTTAAGTACAAAACAGAGAAAAATGCCAGAAGCCTTTACATCACTCTTTTAGGTTGTTATATCTATTACTGACTGATGCTTCAGCTTTGTTAGCCCTGAGCAGGTTGGGATGACACTTTGCTAATAATGTTGATCCAGGCTGCTGTAACATACTTTGGGTTCCTTGGCAAAGAAAAGGAGAGATCTTTCATTGGAGCCAGGATTTCGCCTAATGTACTCTACTGAGTAGTCAGGACTAATGCTATTCTTCCTGTTTCCATCAATACAGGGATTCACATGGCTTAGACCTGTCATTATTGACTTATTTCTTGACTTATTTCCTCTAAGTAAGTTTAGCTATGTAGGTAGGTTATAAAGGAACTTAACCGAAAGCTCATTCTTGCTTTGATTTTCACATGAAGCTCCCATCAATGTTGATGGGAAATCTGCATGCAAAACCAGGGCAGAACAAATGCCAATGCTCCAGTAGGGAAGCCTCCAGCAACAGATCGCTCGTATTAAGACACTTTTTTTTTTTTCTCATTTCCCATGGCCAATTATTGCTAAATTTCAATCTACCTGCACTTTATGGCATATCACGTCACATTTGAAGTAGAACAGAAAAGCAAATGAAATTAGTGCCTAAGAAACAATGTGGTGATTTGCCTGGGGGACACAATAATCTTCTACAAAATATACTGCCTGTATTTCTGAGTGCTTAACACTCCAGTTCGATATGACTTTGTCCCACCCCATCAACCACAACAGCAAAAAAACCCCCAAAAAACAAAACCAATCTTGATGCAGAAAGCAACAGAAATCCATATGGCTCGATCAATATTTTTTTTCTAAGCCTCCTGTAATCTAGAATCCAAATAACTGAACAAACTTTCACCATGAAGCTCAGAAACTTCACTCCTGGTATAAACCCAATATTGTTAAAAACCTACAGCTAAAATTACAAGCCTCTTGTCTGACAAAGCAAAAGGAAAGAACATTATGTCAATGCGATGCATTAAACCATCTGGCCTAGATAGAAAGATGCAAACTTAAAGAAAAAGAAAAAAAAAATGGGAACAAAAGAAAAATAGTTGGAAAATGGTTATACAAGAATGTTTTGGCTACTTACCAAGGACAGTCAGCTGGGTTCCTCCACCGAAGACAAGCACAGTGTTGCATCGCTGTGCAAAAACCTCCAAGGAGAGAAAAAAATCTCACGCATCTAATGGATCAGGAGCTGACCAACTCCTGTGGTATCATTTCCAGGATTCCAGTGACCAGGATCAAAATCTTTCTCTTGTGGGGATTCGGGTATCCAATGAATGAAATGAAAAGGATAGTTGGGAATTAGCATGGCAAGGGGCTTCTGTGCAGACACCGCTTCTAGAACAAGCAATTTCCCGCCTTCACACCAGTAGGTGCCACCATCTTTTCTTTGATTATCCAGGGAAAAAACACATTATAGTTCCCACGCCTGATACCCATCACTGTGCTGTGTTGTTTTTGTTGTAAATGCTGTAAGTAAAGTCTTCTGGGTGAAAAATACCTGGAGAGAAGAGCAGACCCTTCACTGATACAGAGATGTTCACAGATGAGATGGGTACCTCCTTGGAGTGCCTGAGCACGTCTAGACCTGAATGCCATGCGACAAATTTTGCATTCAGTCACCTTATATTTCACACAGTCCCACTGACTTCATGTTGTGTGTTGCAGTTGCTGCCCTTCAGTCCCCAAGGGAATCTACCTATCTCATACCTGTTCTGTTCTCTAAACAGTCCCACATAAAAAGAACCAGAACAGGAGTTATCGTGAATGAATGCACAACACAGTATGCTGGAAATGATGAGTGAGGGTTGGGGCTGTATCACTGCAGCAAGTGAAAATTTGGTCTTGGTAGCTACTGTTGTTATCCTATGGGAGAATTTGCTCATGCCTTACCTGATTAGCTCTTCAAGAGTTGTTAGGATATGCTCAATCTCATATCTCCTAGACATATTGCTCTACTGGCCATTAGCAATAAGGGTGTCTAGTTCAAGATGCATCTGGAGCTATGAGAGAGAGACCCTGTGCATATGGACTTAGTCTGCATTTATCAGACCCAAGCAAAAGTTTCAGTAGTTCCAGACTGCTGTTGGTAGCTAAAAGCCAGCCAAGTGCTCTAGGCTTTTTTTTGTGACTAGCAAAGCTGTACCTGTCTGCGATAAACTGAATTTCCCCCAAGTCTCTGTTTGGTACCAGTATATGCTGGTCATCCAGTAATATCCTTATGAAACAGCATATGGCAGAGTCAATAGGACACAGCAGTTTGGAAGCAGCCCATAGACTGAATTACTTTCACACTGTATCTGTACCTCAGTCTTTTTGTCTGCCACACCAGGAGCCTCGTCTTAAAGATCTTCATGTTAAATTTGCAGCACTCTTGAGCTTTTATGTCCTCCAAAGATCCTTGGGGCCCACTGGTTTCCTGGTACCTAGTGGACTCAGTGGTGATGCTAACCCTCTCCCACTCGAGCCATCAGGTGTGAAGGCCTCAATGGGGACATCTCTCTCTACCCAGTGCGTTACATCTCTGCTTCCATTGTAGTCTACCATACCTCAGGCCAGAAATGTGAACCTTTCTCTTTCTTTGGTGTCTATAGAGCTCTATCTTCTATGCCAGCCTGGCAAGTCCAACTAAAAGCACTCTTAAAGTTGCATTAATTAATGTACTTATTGATTTGAAAGGGAAGCTCATGCAATGTCCTAGTGTTAGGAACTGTCATCCTGTCATCTGAGGTCAGTCATGTAGATGCACTCAGGGCAGCCTGGGGGGACCTGGCACAGGCTGGGAGATGACTGCCAAAGGAACCTGCATCCCTTGGCAAGTTCA